TGTGGCTACAAATGTTTATTGTTTTAGTTGCTCAATGACAGTTCAAGTGATTTCACGTTCAAGTATATTAAAGTAGATGAGCGCGTGGTTGTCAATTAATAGTAATATCAACAAACGCAAAATCTGCTTTTTTCCATCTAAGACGTCACTGAAAGCAAAATATACACGAGCCGCAATAAGTAATCAAATAATAATTTATAGCGATTTCTCTTTATAAAGATACCTTCCTTTGATTTTTAAGTGTTTGCATATACGTGTGCGTTTTTTTTTTTTTTTTTTTTTTAATTTAAACGAAGAATTTATTTTCAACTTTTATTTAAAAATATTTTTTCAATGCAAAAAGAAAAAAAATCCAATCAACAAATGTTCTTTCCGGTAAGCTGCGAAACAATTTTCCAATTTTCTCAAATAACAACAACAACTATTAAGTACACATTTCCCGTGTTATTCGAAAGGTTACGGCTAACTTGTAAGTGTACCTCATAATAACGTGTAAAGGAATTTGCTTTTTCTCCACTTTCTACTCAATGCAATAGTGTGCTGGACCGAAGACAGGGTCCGGTTGATTTGACGTCTGAGAAATTGCTATCTACGTTCTGCACGCTTAATGGGGTTTTTTTGAAATATTCCTTTTCCATCTATTACACCAAGCTGCTGTCAACCACTAACATTAAAAAACAATCGATTTTCAATTGAATTGTGTCAACGGTTTTCGATGTCATCATGTAAAGTGAATCATCATATTGGAATCCAGACCGTTGTAAATTATCGTAAACAATCCATTCGTTATCACTATTATTACTTACTCCCGGTAACGTTCACAATACTAACATTTATCATTAAATGATTTATATCACTATATACTATAAAAATGAACGATATTACGCAAGCAGTTAAAGTTTTCATTACCGCTATTTATGCACTTTTCCGCAGTCGAATATTAGTCGAATTAATAGAATATTAATTCCAAGTCCGCTAAAATTTTCGTTTAATCATTAAGTACGTATGTCATTTGTCGTATAATTTACATAACTTTCGAAATGAACGGCAATGAAAAACAACGAGTTGTCATTCAGCCGTGACAAAAGCAACGAATTCTTCGACGAATAAGAAAGAATGTATTATAATAACAATCAGCAAATATGAATCACGTGATTTTGGAAAATTCTTTTCAGAATTCAATTCAATTAGACGTGCTTCCATTAGTGAGAATAGTAACGAATATCGTAAACATTAAAACTAATAGTAATTTTCCAAGCAGTTGCACCTTAACTTGGCATCACCTCCCCCTCCAAAGTAAAAACGAAATTACTAAAGAAAAAATAATTTATTCATTAATATTTATTTTATCGCCTTCCTTTACTCGCTTGCATTCGAATCAATTCGATTGAGATACGGCCTTCAGTTTCTTCAACGTACTTGTACTATATCTTTAAAAAATTCTTAGTGAAATGGTAATGTCAGCTGCGAAAAGAAAAAAAAATGTCTAAGTAAACCACATCATAAAACGATAAATTTACGCCAGGTGGCGCTTTATTGCGGTTAGCAACTGATTTCAAAATCAGTTTATGTTCAACTCAGCCCTGTTCACAAATCTCTAAGGCTCATATGGTGAGGACCGGGAAATACACAAAACAACACTCCACCCTGACTCAACATATTGAAGCAAAAATTGAAGACATCTTCCCTTGTTTTCCAAACAATTTATCCTAGTCCTTCTTTGATGTTTTGTATTCTCCTTTGTTTTCCTTCTTCAAACTGTTTTTGTTCCTATCTTTTTCAGTTTATCTCTACTTTCGATGTTTTTTAATCTCCGTTATCTTTAGGGTATTAGGATGAACACATGCTCGATTTTTTTCGATTGCTTTTTTATTTTTTTTTTTTATACACAAAAGAGCCCATGTCGCGCTAAGGCTAACACCATTCGCAGGTTTTTCAACAACAGCACTAAGTCAATATAGCTTCAGTGATAAATATTATGCAGTCATTGCAGCAGCAAACAACTTAATGCGATAGCCTTTGACGATAGCTTCTATTGGCGTATTATCAATGACCTCCTTCCATTTACTCTTAGTTGGCAAAACATTTTTAGCAGGATCGTTCCCCCTTTATATTTAACGATTATCTACAAAGGCAGTGGGCAAGCAAAATAGTATTTATTCTTTTCGATTAGCTAAAGTCTCAAATCTGATTAGTAAATTTATGAAATTTTAAACGCTGCTTAATTTTCATCCATTCATTTGCATCACTTTCCGCAAAAGTCGCCATTCGTTACTTCAATCCCACGATCTAGTTTCAAATTAAAGTAGATACTAAATGCTTCTAGAAATGATTCTAGAAGATCAGTACAATTTTGAACTGATCTTGAAGTACATTACGGGTTCAATTTTGTGAATGAATCATTTTTCTTAAGATTTTTTTTTTAGCTAAACATTTTTCACTAAACAAAAAACTTTGAGCAATTTTCTCATTTCATTCCCCTTCGAGTTGCTTTCTTGGGCTAATCAAGTCTTTCAAGTTCCCTGGAAATGGAAATGTATATCACGTTTCAATAACAAAACAGTTTCGATTTTTAGAATTCCAGAAAAAAAAGAACACACGTAACAGATAAGTGGATCCGGTATTATTGAGTACCTGGCTTTTTTTACAAATTCCTTATCCCAACTGTTGCAAGTAGAATGTAAAAGTTAATATACTCAGATCTTCCAATGAAAATTTCGATTAATAATAAATATTTAAAGTTCATTGTTTCCTTTTTTTTATTGTAAAATAAAATATTTATTAGTTTCTTGCGATATGACTTGTTACAACTTAATTACTCAACGGCTTTTTTTTTTCTTGTTTTTGTTTTTTATATGTTCTTGCAGTTATTATTTCCCTTTTGTCGACGTATATGTGCAATAACATTTTTTGTTTTTGTTCACATCACGGGACTCGTATTAGTCATCATGTTTTGATTGCGCTTGTTGAGTGAATTCTATTTATTTTTTTTTTAATATATAGTTACGGTAATGATAGTTTATATTAGCAAAAATGGAAATACACTAACGTAGTTAATAATAATTATTTTTAAATTGTATCATAGAATAGAATTTTGACTATTACTTGTATTTCGTAAAAGCTTCGAGTTTCAATATCGAAATTAAACAGAATGGAAATAAATTTCCATTCTCTATATATTGGATAAGGGCTGTTGTTGTTTTTTTTTTTTTTTCTGAAGGGAAAATTTATCTTGTGTATGTGTTGTACTTTATGAATAACAAGTAGATAACACGAAATACGCACGGAAAAGGTGTTCAATGTTTTTGTTACGTACACGTGTTGCTTGAGTCATTTTCGTATTCTTTTGCAAGCTTGTTAGCGATATCTTTGTTTCTGCGAACAGGAGAATGTTTACCGCAAACACTACACTGTTGTACAGACGGACAGACGGAGAGATAAATAAACGGACATACTTAGGTGCTTTCGAAATTGAAACTAACTTATGTACTTATGTGGCTTTCGAAATTTGCTTCTGGGCATTTTGAAAGTTTTGAAAAGAAAATGAAGTTATTACACCATGAAAGTAAGTAGGCGTGGGCGATTTTTCTCGGTCTGTTTCCTCTCTGAAATTCGATCAAATTTTTTTAGGTTTATCATCTGCTTTAGTTGATGAGTAATGAGTAAAAAAACAAATTTTTTATTCCTTTTGAAAACCAAAGGTGTCGCCACTGTACGTAGTACTATTGCCGTGTCCTTTGGTCGATTTGTCTCATTTTCAATGCCAATCTGCGCATAAGAACTTTCAATGTTTCTGCCAAATTCGAAGACGATTGCTTAAGTTGGAGTCTGTTTAAGTTGGACATTGCATAGACGGACAGACAGCTAGGCAGATATACTTAAATCGATTCAGAATTTCATGCTGATCAAGAGTGTATATTTACTTTGCGGAGTCTCTGAAGCGTCCTTCTGGACGTTTGCAAGGTTTTTCCTATCAAGAAATTGTCCAAATTGTGAAAGAAGTGGTAGTTAATGGGAGCTAGATCTGGTAAATGTGGAGTATGATGAAGAAGTTCCAACTCCCATTCCTCTAGTTTTGGCACGGTCATTCGCGCAGTGTATGGTCTGACGTTATCTTGTAATAATCGTGAACGTTTGCGATTGTCATATTGGGGTCCATTTCTCATCACAAGTGATCATTCGATTCAAAAGTGGATCAGATTTGTGAGGAGAAAGCGACGTCAAACAAGCATCTAGACGCTATTGTTTCTGTTCTTCGTTCTATTTGAGGGCAACCATGAAAACGGTCACAATCTGCTCTGAAAAGGGCACGATTACTGAGCAATTCAACATGAACATTTTTGGGTTGGACTGCGAGTTTCTCAATTGTGGAAGAATTTGTTTAGGGTAAAGATACATATTCATTTCGAGCCATATGCTGCTGAGTTCCTAATTGTTGTAAATGGATTCAAAACTTCAAACGAAATATAGGTAAACTCTTAATTTAAAACAACACAATACATTGTAATCAAGCAAATCCCGATCATTAAATATTTTAGTTCGATTCACGATTGGTCCCAATTTTATCAATATAACTTGAAATTTCCGATTTTAAATTCAACATACATGGATACACGTCGAACAGTTAGCTGTCAGTTGATTAAAAACATGTTTCTTAATTTGAGGAAATGATTCTAGAACGGCGTTGCAGTAAAATTTAGGTGAATCTATTCACCCCAGCCGTGCACTCTGTTATCACAAGCAGTGTAGAGAATTCAAGTCAATATTAATCCTTAACAACAGTGTGGAGTAAGTGAAATAAAGAGAACGTTTGCATTATAGAATGAATATCAAGGCCTAGTTATTCGTAAGCTATTCCATGTAGAATCACTTCGGTGGAATAAAATATCAAAAATCACACACAACTTATTGCAACTCATTAAATAAAATAACAAATTGTTTTACAAAAATCATTCCTATAGAATATGTTTTTCTTTTCTCTACTCTTCGTTCTTTTGCAGAAGTTGCAAACATCAGTCAACAAACGGAAACGTTTAGCTCCTCTTTGATATCACAAAGCAAAAGCTATACGATCACCAGTTGTACAACGAAATTTGGACTACAAGAAGTAGCCATCGAAGCTTGGCCTATTACAGCCTGTTACAAATCAAGCATCCGCGAAGAAAACTTAAACTTAAATTTTTACAATAATTTGTCGAAAGATTCGACAGTAGCGTTCGAGCAGCCTTTATCGGTGAGCACGGAAAATCCTGTATTAAAGTTTCAGTGCCTAAAGGAGTGTCCAGAACGTTTGAAGATTCACTTGCTGACAGGCTCTTCAAACGAAGAGACCGACGGGCACATCGCAACTTTTAATTTGGAGTATTTTTTATCGAGTTTCATATCTGAAAGCGAAATGGCTTCGACAACCGGCACAAGTAGTGCAAGCAATACTTCAACTAATGATAAGCAACCGTGGCCCAATTCGAAAGACGATTATGAATTGCGCGATGTTATCGGCGTGGGAGCAACAGCCGTTGTACATGCAGCTTTATGTTTGCCACGTAACGAGAAGTGTGCTATTAAACGTATCAATTTGGAGAAATGGAATACTTCTATGGATGAGCTGCTTAAGGAAATTCAGGCGATGTCATCTTGCAATCACGAAAATGTGGTAACATATCATACGTCATTTGTCGTGCGAGAAGAGCTATGGCTCGTTTTACGTTTGCTCGAGGGCGGATCACTTTTGGACATTATTAAGCATAAAATGCGTACAACTAATTGCAAGCACGGAGTATTCGATGAAGCTACTATTGCCACCGTTCTGAAAGAGGTGCTTAAAGGTCTCGAGTATTTTCACTCTAATGGTCAAATACATCGCGACATTAAAGCCGGCAACATCTTAATTGGAGATGACGGCACTATACAAATCGCAGATTTTGGAGTAAGTGCCTGGTTAGCTACTGGGCGTGATTTATCGCGACAAAAGGTGCGTCATACTTTCGTGGGTACACCATGTTGGATGGCTCCGGAGGTAATGGAACAAGATCACGGTTATGATTTTAAGGCTGATATATGGTCGTTTGGCATTACAGCCATTGAAATGGCTACGGGTACAGCTCCCTATCATAAATACCCACCCATGAAAGTGTTAATGTTGACTTTACAAAACGACCCGCCTACTCTGGATACTGGCGCTGATGAAAAAGATCAGTACAAAGCTTATGGCAAAACTTTCCGCAAAATGATTGTGGAGTGCCTGCAGAAGGAGCCGTCGAAACGACCCACCGCCAGTGAGTTACTAAAGCATGCCTTTTTTAAAAAGGCTAAGGATCGTAAATATTTAACTCAAACGCTGCTAGCTTCCGGCCCCTCTATGGAAACTAGAGTGCATAAAGCAGCAAAAAGACAACCTGGTGCTTCAGGACGTCTGCACCGTACCGTTACCGGTGAATGGGTATGGTCCAGCGAAGAAGAGGACAATGGTGGTAAACGTCACTCCTCCGATTCTGAGACTGATGATCGGCCTATTAATCGTTTAGAGAGAGCCGACTCTTCGGACAGTGACCGGGAAGAGCATTCGGAATTTTCTGAGCCTACTGCCACTGCTTCGCAAGCGATTAATCAACAACAACAACAGCAACAACAGCAGCAACAACAACAGCAACCGCAACAAACGCCTGCCGTAACATCACCCATAATGGCACAAGCTACAGAGGCCATGGCTCAAATTCCCATGCCTTCTTCTATTGAAATGGCCGTTACTGGGGAGGCCCCTCCGGTTAACTTGGTATTACGTATGCGTAATGTACGCCGTGAGTTGCACGATATACGCTTTGAGTTCGCAGTCGGTAAAGATTCAGCTGAGGGTATAGCTGCTGAACTAGTCGAGGCAGGTCTCGTTGATCCACTTGACACTCAACCGATGGCCATTAATCTACATCAACTAATAGAGCAAAGAGCTTCATTAAAAACTGTTACGTTCCAATTAAATTCGGGTGTGCAGCCGGGTGAGGTGCCCGATGATCGTTCCCTTGTCGGTTATGCTCAAATATCAATAACAGACTAGAATCGACTGGAGCCTGAGTACAAGCCGTTTAATATAGAAGCATTGTCTTCATAAGTTTGTTCAGAAATGCCAAGTTGCGAATTAAGTAGAAGCAAACAAAGCCTTAGGGAGTCTTAGCTAAGCTAATAAATAGAATTCGCTCTATTTATGAAGGGAAGGATAACATCTGTTTTATTCAATATATAATTTAAAAAATCATTTCAAATTTTTCATATAATTGTGTCTCGCTATACTGAACATATACATGCATAGTTAAGTTAAGGTATTGGTAAGTAAGTAACAGATAATAACCTACAAAATGAAATATAATAAAAACTTGCAAACAAGAAAACGTTCGAAAAATACTACGTTTTTTTTTTTTTTTTTTTCTTGTTTATGCTGATATCAATAATTTTTAACGTACTTTTTTGTGTGTTTGTATGTGTGTATGTATATGAGCTCGAGGAATTAATTATTATTTTTAAACATTTTATGGTAATGTAATGATTTTTTGAATGTAATTAATAAGTACTTACAATATTATCGCTTCTACACTACAAAAGAAAGTAATAATATAATTCTGCAAACTCTCTTGAAAATCTGGTTCCGAATTTCTAAATATGAATCTATTTTGAATTTAAGATTACAGATTAAGAAAACAACGACTAGATAAAAATCAATATAAATTTAAAAAAAAAAAAAAAAAAAAAAACGCAAAGAAAACGCAAAGAGGACGATTATAAAAGTTACTACCGATTTCTATCTTATCGATTGTTTCCTATTTTCAGCGTCTTTTTTTCCACCTTCCCAACAAGCTACTAAGGCCAGTTATTTCAATAAAAGCTAAGCTGATCCTTAATATGTTTACTATTTTTCATTTCAACTTAGCTAAATAAATTAATGTTGATAAACAAAAAAATTAAAAAAAAATAAATAAAAAAAAAAGAACACATTCTGTAAGCAAACTACAATGGATCTAATTTTAATTGCAATTTTAGCCGTTAATTATATTTATTTAAAATATAATTTAAACAATTAATGCAATAATGTATAGTCTAGTAATTGAGAATAAAACAATAAAATAAAATAATTAATGTCAGCTACTTATCGAAACAACAAATAAACAAAAAAAAAAAAAAAAAAAAACACACACACACACACTCACACACATACATATATGTATTCAATTTTTCTCCCAAAATACCCCATGTTTATCACCCGCCTCGTAAGGTAATTAGTTTAGTTATTGCTTTCACAGATGACACATTGAAAAAAAAACCTCCCCTTCCGCCTCACTCTAGCCTATATACATACTTATGTAATTGTTGTTTACAAACAAAAGGCAAAAAAAATAAAAAAATTAAAAAATGAAAAAAAAGAAAAAAATTGTAAAACATCTCTATTAGTTATTAATTTTTATACAATTTATTTAAATTATAAACCTGTACAACTGTATTTATTAAAAAAAAACAGGGTCATCGTCGGGAAGATTTACTACTTATATATTTTTGGTGTAACTTGATAAAAAAATGCAAAAAAAATTATGGAACATTGCTAATGGCAATCAAACTTAAAAGCTCGCCCCTATGTTATTTGTTTCCCTCTATTATGTTCACGTAGGTTTTTCTTAAATGTTTCTTTTTCGCCCGAGCCAGTGTTTTTCAAATCGACAATTGACGAAGCCCAACCGAGAGTTTGCTTGCTCTTAACTTATTTATGCATAATTTCACAAAAAAAGAAAAAAAAATAAATGAAAAAAAAGTAAAGGTTTCGCCTTAAGCCTCTTGTTAGTGTCTTCGACTCTAGGCATCGTTTTGAATACAGATTTATGAAAGTTTTTTTTTTTTTTTTTTTTTTTTTTTTTTTATAAATATTTTTTAAAAAAAATTAAAAATAAAAAAAATATAAAAAAAAAAAACAAAAAAAACTTTCTCTTTAATTTCCACAGAAAAAAAAGGAAATAAAAGAAACTCCTCATGATTTTGAGAATCATGAATACATCATGAGAACACGCGTTAGTTAATTAAAGATCTATCGATCTACACCCTGACTGCCACATATCAACTATCGAACTTTATGTTTTTTGAAAATGTAAATCTTTTTGATGTGAAGACCCTGTAAATTTGCAATAATGTATCTGCCAGGCATGCAATATACATATGCATCTATAGCTAAAGGTCAAATCATATACATACAAAATCAATCTTTCTAAAGCGTATGTATGTATGTCAAACTATTCATTTTCATTTATTTTTGAATAATTTTTTCCTTCTTTTTTTTTTTTTTTTTTTGTTTTTTTATTTATTCATTTAACGTTTCCCTCTAAAGCTTATTATTATTATTATTTGTTTAAAAATTATTTAATTATACAAGCACCTGTTTACGTCCCTTTGTTATCTCATCTCATTATAAATTAAATAAATATCAAAAACTCTTACTTTAACTGAAACGTATAAACATTAGAAAAAAAAAAAAAAAGAAAAGACAAAAACAAAAAAAACAAGAAACCACAAGGACACAAGTCTATTATTGTTTAAAGTGAAATTTAAAAAAAAAAAGCTATACTAGCTAAAAAACAATTTCAAGTAAACGTATAAATTCTCTTTTTCCAAAATAGACAAAAAAAGCAAACGAAGAAGAAAAAAAGAAACATACTGTGTGTGATTTGCGTTTTATTTCCATTTATTTGAAACAAAAAAAAATAAAAAAAAAGGTACAGTATCTTTCCCGTTAGGGCGACGACTACGCAATGCATTCTTCTAGCGTTGGATAAAATACACTTACGAGGGTAGGAAAATGATTTCTTGAAAATCTCTTTGAAGCTGTTTTTTTAATTTATTATTTGACAGTAGAAAGGGTTTTGGCAAAGCAGGCTTTATTATTTCGCTCTCTTATCTCTTCTGATTGTATGGTTTTTGTTTTGTTTTATCGACCTAATAAACACAAAAATCTTAAGACGCACATAAAGGGATTCGGCCCATCATAATAAGATTACAGCTCTGCAAATTTAAAATAAAAATTTAAAAATTTTTTGCTCCCTTTCAAATTGTGTTCGCTCGCGTAGCAGTCACTCCTTTTAATCCATTTTCTGTTATATTTTTTCAAAATTCTTTCAAATGTTTACATCAAACATTAGTTCTGCTATATATGTTATAAAGTGCATAAATTATAAACAATGGATTTTCTATGGGACTTGCGATAACATTTTCCACCATAATTTTTACGAGAGTTTTTGCAAAAGCCAGAGGAACAACTCAAGACCTTCCAACCATCGAGAATACATACATATACAGTGTTTAACTTAGGTCATTATCATTAATGTACATTAAAAGTTAAGAGAAACTTTCCTCAAAAGACGGAGGAATGGCTTAGGGTGTCTCAGTGATCAAGAATTCATACATACGCGCACGACGAAAACGTTGACGATGCATGACTAAGGCTTAACTGCTTTAAAAATTCTACAATTTGATATGAATAAAATTTCGCTTAATTATTACTCGTTTCAGAAATATGTCTGACTATTTTCATGAATTGGGACTAACGCCCACTGGCCCAGAAGGTGCTGATGATTTTGATAGAAATATAAAAAGGCTTCAAGTACTGGCCATAATGAATGGAATTGACATTGAAATCGAAGTGCCAGAGGCTTCGAAACGTGCTATTGCCGCCTTACCAACTCATGAAATCGGCGACGAAGATGATCTCGACGATTTAGAGTGTGTCGTATGCAAGCAGCCAGCCGAAAAAGGTGAAAAATATAAAATATTACCTTGTAAACATGAATTCCATGAAGAATGTGTATTATTATGGTTGAAAAAGGTGAAATAAGAAAACTTTTACTAATTTTGAAATAAATGATAAATAAAAAAAAAAAAAAATTTACTTTTAGGCGAACTCTTGTCCAATGTGTCGTTATGAATTAGAAACCGATGACGAGGCATATGAAGAATTACGCCATTTCCGTCAGGATGAGGCAAATCGTCGTGAACGAAATCGCGACTTAATGAATTCTATGTTTTTGTAAATTTATTTTATACAATGTTTTTGGTGAATGGTTTTTAAAATAAAATTAAATCATTAAATCGGGTGAAATTAATATTTAACTAAAGCATTTATTTATTGCATTGATGGTAAGTGATAGTCTGCTTGTACTTAATCATATTGCTTATCTTAGGCATACTTATCAATTTTTCTTTGCTTAGTAGGCCTTGCGGTTTTGAATTTTTTACAAAGCCTAAGCTCAACCATTTTTGTTTCTCTTTCACTTTGTTTCATACACAATTGTTATTGTAATCGTCATATGTTGTAGATTCGTTTTTTTTTTAAGTGATGCCATCTTCAAGTTTTTAGTTACAAAAGATTCGCGCTTTCGTGCTGACCAAATATATAAAGTATAAAAAATATCAAAATGTAAAAAGTTTTGATATATCAATTTATTGCGTACGATACGTTTTTCATAGTTGTAAAATAATTTTTAAAAATCTTGGTTAATTCATGTCTGCACTTATAAATTTTGTCAAGAAAATATTAAATTTAATTTATTTTCTATGTGCTTTAAGAATAAAAATATTCTTATTCTAATTCTGGAAAATTTTTATCGCATTATTGCAAGCATCGCCTACTTTAATTATCGCTTAAATCATTTAGCGTTTTTATTCAGCCAAGGAAACAATACGTGTTGATTTTATTGTTATAGTTGACATTACTGTCATTAATTTAAAAGGTATTTAGTTTGTTCGCTTTTCTTTGTAGAGTAAGGTTATTTTGGAAATAAAGCTATAAAGTGTTTAATATCTTATTGAATATCAAGTCCAGTTAATTTATTTGCCTTCTGGTTAAAAAAAGTGAAAGAACCTTTTACACAAGCAAAGTAAATGTATTCAAAATATTAAGCCGGCATTTTTAGTGCAAGGGCAACAAACTGTAAAAAAATGTTAAGCAATGTGCAGAATAATAAACTTTTTGATGATAAGTTTTTGGCTAATACTTTGAGGAATTGTCGGCGTTGTCCAAGATGCCGCAGCGAATATTCCTTCGCTTTCGATAAGCGTATGGGCGGTAAGTTATGTTTAAATGATATTCCTTTTAAAGGGACCGCCGACTTGCTTAACTTTTTTTTTTTTTTTTTTTTTTATAATATTGGTGTGCAGGAAAAGCATACCGTTATATGCCGAAGCATTTACATACAGGGTTGCTAACTGTTTTACATTAGATTATAATGCTTAAGCCGGTAAAAGTAGATTCTTCAAAAATATTGACACAATTTTCATAGCGTTTCCGATACTTTGAGAAATTCTCGATATTCTCCGATATGTTACGCTGACTGCTTTTCCAATTGTGACGGACTTTTAGAGAGACAGACATTTGTGCAAGTTTCTTTTAAATAGTGTTAGTTTAAAGAAAAGCTTTGGGATTTTTTTCCTACTATTGTTGCGCTATTTATATGCACGGTTGTCAGATTTTTGTCTATAATCGCGAACTTTCTTCATGTAAGCTTTATGTATGAAGACTTCATACTGTAATGGAATATTCGACACTAGCTTGTATGACGGTGTACGCCATTAGACGGCCAAAAAACATTTGTTTAGGGACAAATTTGCCAATCAGCGTTTCTTACTCTAAACAAAAATGTTCAAGTTTCTTTTATATAAAGAATTCTTAAGTTCCAAGTGACTTTTGGTGCCTAATTTGCGATATATGGATATGTACGAAGCAGCAAAGATGTTATCTTTCCACTAAAAAGCAACTCAGTCTCAATGTGCCTTTAGGTGGACAAATATTATCAAATTGGTTGATTATAGAATAACTTTTATAAAATGGCTGTTGTATTAAGTGTATTCTATTTTGCTCCAAGTTCGTTAAAAAGCCTTGAAGAATTTCGAATTGAATGTCTTGAAAGTATTGAAAGCGAAGTCAAGCTTATTTAATTACAACTTTACTTTTTAGCGCTATTCTTAAAGTTGTTCGGATATATATATATATATGTATATATATATATATATGTTGTTAGTTCTGGTTGCAGTCAAAGAGCACTCCATATAAAACTATATCTAAAGTTGCCTCTTTATCCCCTGCAGACACTAATATTCGAAGTCATCGTCCCTTTTTGCTAACGTGTGGCCATAATATGTGCGAGAATTGTGTTATTCACAATCGACGAAAGTTAGAATGCGGTGTATGTCTTAAGCCAATCCCAATACCACAGTCGCAAACTACTATTAATTTCCGAATACGCCAGATCTTCGATATGAACTTTTTTGTAATGGGTGAATTGAATCATTTGAAATTTTATCGTACAGACGGCTCATTCAACAATACCCTAGTCGCATCTGCAGACAATATGGGTTATATTGCACCGCAATGTGCCGAATGTGATAGTGCTGTCGCTACAGGCAAATGCCGTCAATGTAGAGTGTCTATGTGTAAGCGTTGTTTCGATTCGGTACACAAAAATTCGAAAACATTGCAAAAGCACCTTTTGGTACCATTGGATGAAATTCGAGGTCAACATAATCAATTGCCGAAGCCGAAGCATTGTAAACGTCACAATCGTAGTTCGGATTATTACTGTCGCATGTGTGATGTTACTTGCTGTTACGAATGTGCGCGAACCGATCATAACAATCATAGTTTTTGCCCATTAATTGAAGAGGTAAGTAAATCACTTAGTTCACGTTGCATATTAAGAAAATGTTCTATTCAATGGCTATGTTGTCGAATGACATTTGGTTTTTTTTTTTTTTTTTTCTCTATTACTTTCTATAGAATAAGAAACTTATGGAAGAGTTGGCTTCGGTTATGGAAAATGTCAAGCTATACCGTGATAGTGTTCAAAATGCTCAAAAGGTAAGTTTCGGATTTTTATTTATAAATAGATATGTACTTAATTATAGGAATAAATTTTTTGAAAATGAACATATACATAGAAATATATTTACAAAAGAAGAAAGTAATATGAATTTAAGTTAATTTAATATTTTTGTGAACTTAAGTATGGCAAGTTTCACTAAAATGAGACATTTAAATATAATATATATTTTTGTGTCTTTTAAGCACCAGTTACTAGCGATTAAAACTGGTTTAAAGACGTTACGTAAAATGAATATATCTTGAAAGTTTTTGCAATATTCGAATAAGGCATATTTAGATCTAAGCTTATTTAAAAAATAATTTTTTTTTTTTTTTTTTTTAAACCCACCACAAGCCATGCGTAGTGCGTTTACAAAGCATAGAAATGCATTCTTGTAAACTAGAAATGTCCCTTTTCAGCATCATTTATAGTGCTGTAGCTTAGCTAATCTATCTGCATGATCGTGTTTCGAGTCTAATTCAGAATTTTAGATTTGTATGTAGTGTTAACTTAGCCCTATAGATCTCTTTCTCTATCCGATGAAATGATATCATGTCTATGCAATCAATAAGCAGTCTAGAACATGAACGCCTTAAATTTTTTTATGAGCAACAGGTTCAGCGTTCGAAAAGCTTCGAAAAATTAGAAATTCATTTATTAATGCTGTTTAGGCAATGTCTTCCCTATTAAATGAAAAAACTACTCTTCGAATGTCTTACGTTAAACTTTGTGTCGTTTTGCTCTGCAATTTATGTTCAGATATATATTACCCTATAAAATGTACTAACGCGCCCCATTGTGCAATCCCTTCATTAATTTTTTTTTCAAGCGAATGGTGAGTTTGAAATCATTCGACATAGGCCGAATATGGTCCTTTTATTTTTAATTTAAAATAAATTTTTTCTATCTAATGTTTGCTCCCCCCAGATCAAAAATATACCATCCCTATTAGTTAATAATAATACGTTTACTTATTTCGGTTTTTCTTCATTATCGTGTCTGGTATTATATGACCTGATGTACCGTCTGATTTAATTTCCATAATTTCTACTTTTTCAACGGTTACGTTCAAATTATCTTCTGACTTCGTTTGAGGAACATCGGTGACCGTTTCATTGTTATTCTTTTCAGCCTTTCGTATTTCTATTCTATCCGTAGAAGTATCAGCAAGTTTATCTTGCTCATTGTTAGCGTCGTCATTGTCATCATAGTCTGGCTCGGCCGTAGAGGATACTACTATCGGTCTAAGACTTAGCGATAGCTCTTCGTTAGATTTTGGCGTTACTGTTATCGTGGATATTGTAGTGCTTTCAAAAGCATTCATAGATTTGTCCCGTTGAGAAATGTCATTAACTTCATCGTCTATAAGTAAATTTCTTTCAGAACTTTGTTCACTGACGACAGAATTAATGGTATCATGCTTTTGCACGGTTTTATTATCCTCCGTAATCGGTTCTTCAGTGCCTGTATCTTCGCTTTCAGTGTTAATATTATCGATATCATTATCATCATTATCATTATTGTCGTTATCGTTACCATCATTCGATGTATTGGTTTCTTTTGTTTCTTCATCAGCTTTCTCCTTTTCTAAACGCATTTTCTCTTCCATCTCTTGAAATTTCAAAGCTAAGTATCTGTGTAATTAAAAATAAAATTTATAACATAGCGCGCAACAATGTTTTATTCAATTAATTTTTTACGTACTTATCCACCAAAGGACCACTGTAGTCTTCGGGAAATTTAGGCGTAAATGGCAATATGTACTTGTATAACCGCTCATTCAAAACGTATAACTGTGCGGTTGTAGCGCATTTAACATTAAACCACCAGTCACAGGTTAATGCTATCTATAAATTACAAGCAATTTTTGGTACATATATATATATATATGGATGTAATATATATACACAAACAATATGTGCATATATATATACACAAACAATATATGTATTATATATGCGTATCCATTTTCGTATGCATGTATGTATGTATGTATGTATATATGTATATATGTATATACATATATATATGCACAATGCCATTACGTGCAAATTAAATGAAATTAGTCTCATCTTTATTTCAATTAAAGTTTCATATTAATTCTCACTCTTCTTTATCTTAACAAGCGTATTTATTGTTACCAAAACTTCAGCCATTAAATATAAATGCTTAAGTAAAATAATATTTTCTCAAATGACTTTCAAAACTCTATTGCACTACGTAAACGTTTGAAATATAGTTAATTGCTGTATATAATGTTCATCGCGTAATATGTTGTCTATGCTTGTTTTTGTTTAGTTTCAGTGTAAATATATTGATTATTACGTACATACGCTTGACTTGTGAAAACTTGTTCTTATAAATTTTGCAATATTTTGATTGGATTGACGTGAGAATTTTCACACATTTTCGTAAGCATTTAATTTGTTTGCAAATGTGAACATATTTGCATTTTATGTACAATCATTAACATTGTATTAACTAAAACTGTTCTTGATCAGTCTATGATTCGTGTATTGCTTTCATGAAGTACATTTGCTTATTTAACCGCTGAAGTTCTAAGAATGCCATAAAAGCCATAAAATGAGAACTGATTTTTTTCTTTTATCTCGTGGCATGAAAAAAAAGAAAATTTCCATTGATTATGTCGAACAAAATTGATACGGTGGAAAGGTCTTCACACATGTAGATGTCTGTAGCCCTGTTTCGCGTCCCTTTTAGCAGGTTAATGCTCATCTTAGATTCAGTGAGTACTCTCGAAAACACACTTCTTTTTATACCCACCACTGTAAGGTGCAGGTTTACCTATTTTATCTTTTTCCATAATACATGTAAAATCCAGAAGTAAGTTTCAAAAAGCTTATAACGTATATATAATCTTGATCAGCGTGAAATTCGGTATTGATTTAGCCGTGTCTGTCCGTCTCTGTGGTGTGGCACTATCCTTGTCGCAAAAATGAAGATATCGATCTCAAATTTGGTCTGCACGTAGGTTGGTATTGAAAATGACCAAAATTGGTCAGAGTAGAAGGGCGCAGAGGATTTACGATTTAAGATCCATTTTTGCCATTTCCATTTGTTTCTTAATTACGAATCAAAATTCTTTTCGAAACTAATTATGTGAAACGTGTACAAAGTTTGAAAATGTCGGCTATTTTGCTCGCAAGAAATTCACATTACGCGCAAAAGTTGACTAAATAGTGGCTTGTCAATACTTTGATTAAACCATTTTTTCTTTTCAACTTTTTCACGGAAAAAATTTATTCGTGCATCCAACTACAACACAAGCGATTAATACCCATGTAGCGTGTACGCACATTTCTTTATTTCTAAAAGCCATTAGTTCCCAACCATAGCCTTTGCACTTCCTTTGTATATTAATGACATAGGCTTCCGAAAGATTAAAACAATTCTACGAAATTCGGTCCAACTGGTATTATGGTCAGCGAGCGTCTTAAATTTGTAAACGCGCGTTCATATACCTGTTTTGAAATCACGATTCCCACTATGGGAAATAAAAAGAACAAAATTGATGAAAAATTTTTTTTTTTTTTTTAAATTCGCTAAAACGTTTCATAGACTCATCTGTAATCCGGAAAAAAAATAAAAAAATTTCAAGTTTTTTCGAAAGTGCAACAAAGTATAAAAAAGTTCAGTCAAAGTTTTTTTTTTTCTTGCTCACCTGACTAAAAATGGTACCATTTGGACAAAGGAATGATGCTTTGCCTCCATTTAAATCGCAGTAATGCCATACTTGGCAATGAGTTTCCGGATCACCGAAGAAACCTTTATAACGTTGTTGCGAACAATCGAAAGATGTCTCTGGTATGTCAGCATAATTGGGATAATCAATGCCTGGTCGTCCTGTACTAGGACCTGGTTGTCTATCTGCAAGGTCATATATCAAATCAAATTTATTGATTTATTAATTTTTTTTTTTTTTAAATGTAAACTTACGCGTTCCCATATGATGTATAGGCAATAAGTTTAAATCATGTATATTATGGTGGTCCTGTTGTTGTTGTTGTTGTTGCTGCTGCTGCTGCTGCTGTTCTCTACTATCTGCGCTGTAATCATAGTCGGGTGAGTGCGACGGCAACTCATGGTGCTGGGGTGGATTGGCCACAATTGTTTGGGTCTGCTTCAAATTGTTGAGTATATGTATAAGTGTTTTAATCGAATTGTCAATGTTATCCGGTGTCAAAGTATGCGGCAAATGATTGCTCTCCTGCAGTTTGTGGAGAATTTCGGCCAGCGATGATGTGCGTATATCTGGCAGTTCATTTGGATCTGCCAATGTTGAAGATGACTGATGATGCTGTTTTACTTCATTCCTTTGGGGCGTTAGCGGCTGAGTCGTTAAATCCTGTTTTTGCAATTGCTCCTCCGGTATTTTTGCATTGTTTGCATTGTTATTGTAGTGTACGCTGGCTGCCGTTTGCTTCGTTTTAAATAAACCCTGTGACGGCACTAATTTTTGACCAAATTCCTCTTTAACATAAACAAATTTTGCGGTTGGTTTCAATGAGACAGTGCTGCTCGGTGTGGGTGTTGCCGGCATTGGTCGAGCAATTGGATTTTTATACCTAATTAACGGATGATTGACATTCTTTTTTGGCTGAATTGTTTGTTGCAGATGCAAGCCGGGTTTTGTTTTGTAAATTGTACGCAGAGTGGGATCATAATTTTCCTTTGTTCTAATGGATTCGTCGCGATGACTATTTGGCGCAGAAGGTGTTGTCACAACAAAGTATGCATGTTGTTCTTCATCCAAAGATTGCTTGGGTTCATCAATTAAATAGTCAATGTATTGAGGAGTGGAGGGTCTTTAAAAATTTTAAAAAGGAAGAAGAAGAAGAAGAAAACGCTATAATAAGAAGGACTTTATTGCCAAACATTTTTAGAGCGAAGTTACTTTTTTTTTTATTTATTTTTTCCATTCATTTACATTTGTCGTACATGTTGGGAGTTTATTAGAAAATCTTCAGACGTTTGCAAATATATTCTGTTTTAAATTAAACTGTATAATCATATTCTACAAAGTGAACGTGACGCTATGAAATGTGTTGTACATGCAGCTACATACATTGTATAATAATGGAATGCGTACATAACTACATGTGCATGTATGCATGTGAATGTTGACCAACTTACCCAATAGCCGTGGGATAATGTGATGCGTGTAATGATGCTGATGATGATAGTGATGGCGGTGACGATGGTGCCAATAAACGATGTGTTGATTGTTGGTGTTGTTGTTTGTGATAACTCTGACCACCAGGTTGCGAAATTGTTTGCCCATCAAATTCACGGAATAAATTTCGTACCGGTATTGTAAGAACCTGATGGTAGGTTGGTAAAGCACTGTTGCCATTCGTGTCTAAATGATGATTGGGTGGCATGGATAGATCTGGATGATTGTATGAAGCGTGACGAATGAAAGTATTTTGTGGATATTGCGTGGAGACAGAAACGCTTTCTACAGGTGGCGATGTACTGCTAAGTATGAGAACCTGAGGCTCTGTCATTGAATGCTTATGTGATGTTTGGTCACGTTCCTTGCTGGGCACACGATATTTTTGTTGACTGACAAGTTGTTGTTGCCGCAGTTGCGGGTGATATTTGTAACGTATGCGTTGCTGCGGCGGCGGAGGCGGCGGCGGCGGTGGCTGTAAATGCACACACAATACATTATAGCTAAAGTATTACAAGACATATATATATATATTCATATCCTGCCTGCCATACCTTTACCTTTAGGGGATTATGATGTTCTTGTTGTATGTTTGTTATGAAAAAGTTTTCTGCTTTCGGAGGTTGAAATTGTGTCGATTTTAATCCTTGTTGTTGGTGTATAACGACAGCATCATTATGTCCCCCAATATGATGACGAATGGGTGGACTATATTAAAATAATATGAACGTGTTGATGAATATGTTTATGTATTTACATGCATATCTATGTTTCAGCTGACAACTGATTTTATCATAGTTGTTATTGTCGTTATCGTTGTCGTTGTCATTGTCGTTGTCGTTTTTTGTAAAAAGTAATAAGAAGCAAATTGAAAAATAAACACGAATTTATGTATTGTTCGTATAACTCTTACTTACGTATGAGAATTATGCAGACTCTGATGCATTTCATTGCAATAGTTGCTTATGTTGAATGGATGGAGATTTAATTGCTTTTTAAGCAAATACAATTTTATTAGCCTCTAGTGATTTATGACAATTATTTTCAATTACTATTACATTATGAGTAATTTAGACATTATGCTATTGTTGTATGCATTCACTATTGTAATATACGCTCTAAGGTATTTCTCTACGTTCATAATGCTATATTTATCTAGGTAATATGCACGAAATATTCGATTTCATATATTCAATATCATCAAGCATTTCAACGAATACCATTTTAAAAAAAAAAAACTTTTTTTCAATAATTTAAAACAAGATCAAGAAACTCTGAAATAACTGTACTTGCGAAATTTATAAATGATTTTGTCCAGCTTGACATAATCTCTTTTTTTCTTTTTTGCCGCATTGGACGATAGAATTCTTATTATAAGATTAACTTCATGTGAGTTTCTTCTCATTTTCGTTGAAAGCTCATCATTACACAAAAGTACTGCAAAGGACTTTACTATTTCGAGGAAGCAGACAATGTTTTTTAGGGACTATCAAGTGCTCCAGTTTTAAAAGTCGTGTAAATCTCTCCACTGTTAGCATCGTTGATTTTAGTTCCAAAATTTATTATTGAATTCGAGTGCCTCTACATAGCAGAAAATGTGATATATAGTATAGGCATATATCGACATTGATCGGTCCGAAACATTCATCTAATTATGTAAAACAAGTTTGAAAGAATTGTTTAAAGTCAGCTTGAATATCAATCGAAAAAATCGCATGATATATTTTATTTAGCGAATTGTTAATTGCTGCGAGTCTTTCCTATTTTTTGGGGACATATGGAAACCATACCAAAAAGGAAGAATAACTGGCTATTTGAGGCATCCATCAGAACACCATCATAATGAAGAAAGCGCCATCTAGGCAGATATTGAGTAATCGACTGAAGCAGATGTTAACTAGAAGGGGTAATATATGGCGAATTCAGTGGAGGCAGACCGTCTAGGACGTTGCAATTTGCTAATGCTAACGGTCTCCCGGCGAATTTTACAATAGGACGACAGATGTTATCATGTTAAAAATCATTCCATGATGTACTGTCGCACTTTCCGCTTGTTTCTGACGCACCTGTAGCAATTGTTCATGAGAGTAGTCATAAAGTAGAGATTTTCTTAACTTGGAGCAGCTAATTATTATTTGATTCCTTCAAGTTTGATCATCATCGCATTCGGTTCGGCTACTAATGTTAGTAGCTAGCCTTTCTTCGGATTGAACAGAACCGAAAAAGGGGCGTTGCAGTTTCTTGCATCAGTTCGCAGACGTGAAAAATGACATGATTGCTATAACATTCAAATTTTAATTTTATTATTATTTTATTATTCTTTCAGTTTTATATAATTCTGTCATTATTGCACTTATCGAAATATTGATTAATTGATTCTTTAGGTTTTTCTCTGCGTATTAAAGTGCCTTTAAATTCGTAAATTTCTGCCCACTACAAAGAGAGCAGATTTTCTTATTGTCCCTTTTTCCTCATGTTTTCTCTTATCTCTTATTTCAGTTGAAAAATTTGATCTGATCGATTAACATATGATCGTTTACCTGTCAATGAAAAATGTATGCAATAAATTGATTGCCATTTTTAACACATCACTGAAATTTTTGCTCTACGCAAATGTGTTAAGCTAAATATAGAGCTTTGGCATGCAGAGATGCATGCATGGGTGTTCATCATACATATCCAAGATCGTGTAGGGGAAAACTATAAAAAAGTTTTACGACCGTCCCACTAATATGTCCAAAGTTTGTAATTTTGTTATTGGGAGCTGAGGAGGAGGAAGAAGAGTGAATCTAATAACGCCGTTGTTTTTATTTATTGTCAGCTTTAGTTTCCTTTAAAGTAAATAATAACTTCGAGCGGTGTCTTTTTACGTCCTACTTAGTCTCGCATAGTTCTGAATATTTCATAATATGCGAAATGAAAGAAGAAATGCATTTTTTATTCATTTTTCTCAGCGAGCTATGAATGGCGCGACCACCGTTGACATTTACATTCGTTGAAAACAAGACGTTACCGATGGCTGTAAACTGCGCGCTGAAGAGAACATCTTAGATACTTTGACTTTTAGCAAATGAAAGATTTTATTAGAAGCAAAACAATATAGCGTTGCTAGCAACTCCATGTGATTGATAAGATCTGACTGATTCAGACAGAGATGACAAGCATCCGGTTTACACATAGGATTTGGAGGAATTTGTTAAAAAAATATACTAAATCTTCAAAGGACTCATACTACGATACTGATTTGCGACAATGAAACACAGCATAGACTGAAAGTTAGGTCAATAATTTTTTTGAAAACACAAATGCCTTCAAAGCTTTTCGTTTAGAGTTTAAGTGAACTTTTCTCCAGCGAACTTGTTGCTTGTTGTTTTCACTTCTTGGGCTTTCTTTAGCATAGCGGCCATAAAGGAGTGTACAAGTCAGCTGGAGTTTTTTGAAGTTTTCTCTTATATGACAATCGGACATAATGTCACGTTAATGTACTTGCAAGGGTTCAAAAAATATCGCGATAAGAAAACAAGAAATTGGAAATGTTACGGCAGTGTATCCATAGCGGGCGATACTATTCTTAAAAATGCCACCACATGCGCTTCCATAAGCGCGGTACTATAATTCAGTTTAATAATTTTTCGCATAATCATGTAAAAACCACTAAATCATTCTTTTATGTATTACTGTTTAGCGAGACATTTAATTTTTAAATACCTTATGGTTACGGTATTTTCTGGTGCCAATTCTCCTGCCACCGTGGAAGTTGTAATACTAAAATACCCTTGTTGCTTTGATTGTTGTTGTTGCTGTTGCTGTTGTTGTTGGAGTTTGGAATTATGCCGATGTTGTTGCTGTTGTTGTTGTTGTTGTTGTCGATAGCGGTGATGATAATTTTGATTATGCAATGATTGAACATCTATTGGCGGCAATGAAGCAGAGTATTCTACAGCAATTTGTTGCCGCGGTTGGGTTTGCTGCGTTTGCTGTTGATAGTGTTTGTTTATTTCATCGTTTTCATCGTCGTACAATACAATATGAGCAGTGTCATCGGCCTCAGCTGTATTGGTTATTATATTGTTTAAGTTGTTGTTGCTATTGCTATTCGCTGACGTATAAACAATTGGTACGAAGTCGCCCGGCACTGTATTAGACGCTGTAAATGGTGTTAAATTGTTTTTTGATTGTTTGCTGCGTATACGATAAGCAGCTTGATTTTGTTGTTGGCGAGACCTTATTATTTCCTTTGGCGGAGTGGCTAAAGACTCGAACGCAGTTAAAGATGATTTTGATGAGGTTTGCGATGATAAAGGTGGAAAATATTGCACTGTCTTTTGCTATGAAAGAATGGGTTTTATTTATTTTTAATAAAATTGAAAATCATTATATTGAAAAAGCAGTACAAAAGTACATATCATGGGTTCTTAAAAAAGTATGCGATCGCAATCAATATTTTTTTTTTTTTTTGTTGTTTTTAAATTGTCTTTTTCGTTGCTATTACTCTTATTGTTACTCACTTTGTGAGGATTAACTGGTCTGTGCGTTGCATATACTTTGCCTTCATCATTGTCTCTTACTAATGGCGAATGTGTGACGCCGACAGTGAGCTCCGGTGGCCGTAGGGGCACCAAATCAACTACTCTCGAATATTTGTTATTATCGGTATCGCCAAGTTGTTTAACTGCAGTCAGGGAATGTCCACCAATATTGCTATCGTAATAACCAGTGCCTGCATTTATCTGATAATTTGCAGAAGCAGAGGGCGGCAAATAATGTTCCAAGCCATCGCTTGTAGCTGAAGGTGCACTCATTGCATTCATTTTCATGTGCACATATGCTGTTGGTATTGGCACATGACTTGCCGTTGGACTTGTATTAAGTATGCCAGCATTACCACTGTTTGTTCGTAAAGAATGCTTCGACTATACAGTCATGAAGAAGGAATACACGAAAAGAAAACATCTATTTATTATAAATTGCTGCTTAAAATAATTGAAAATTATAATCGTACCGCTTGTGACGGTAGGGAGGCATATTGTTTATTAATGGTCAACTCTGAAACCGGCAAATAGAAGGCCATATACGGTATTAAACGTCTTGTACGCTCTGAAGCACTTAACTCTGAATCATCCGCCAGCAAAGTGACATTGCTCTCGTCTATGAGGTCTACCGCTGTTGCGGTTGTTGTGGTTATGGTGGTTTCAGTTATATTTTCAGCCTCCTCATTGACATCGACACGTATGCTGTGCGTGACATTTAAGAAAGCTGTGAACGAAAAAGAAAAAAAAAATTAAAATAAAATAAAATAAAATAAAAAATATGACAATGAGAATGAGAAATGCAAAATGTAAATGTTAAATTTGGAGGATATTTATTCGTTCTTACGTATATGATGTTCATTGTAATAATTGCTTGTTTTGTTTGCTGCAATTTAAAGGTGAGGTAACAACCATGTGACCAATGACAAATGCCTTAGTTAATGCCTTAGTGTTAATTGCAGCAGCACAAAACAAGCGAGAGATATGCTTTCTCTCAATGCAATGCTAATAATAAAAATTAAAAATGACGTTTGTGCATTGAAACACTTCTTCTTCCCATTTCTCCCCATCTATCCAGCCCCACCAATTATGTTGTTTGCTTTTTGATGCATTTTAAATTTTTTTTCTCCTCCCTTCCCGTATAGTTGTCAGAGTAAGTTTTGTCATCATCACAAAATTCATCAAATCATTATGAATTCAATAGGTTTTGAAAGGTTCTTTTCAAAAATTGTCAAAATTTTATTTTGAACGGCAGACAAATGTATTTTTTTATTTGTTATAAAAATTCTTGGAATTCAGTATAAAGTTTGCATAAATATTTTGTCCTGTTTTGAACATTTTTATTTTTAAAGTTTTAGTCTACACTTTCGAGTGCAAATTCAAATCATCAGAGTATCATCTTCAGATGCAATTAGACAAAATTTCACTATTATAAAAATCCAACAATTATGTCAAAATTTTCGACAACCTCCAATCGGCAATTAAGTACACGCAACTCCGACATCGACGCTTTGGCTCAGCGCGGATATAACATTGGACATAAAATTGGTGAGGGCTCGTATGCCACAGTTATAACGGCTGGTTATGCGGACGATGCCGGCCACGGTGTACATTTAGCCTGCAAAATTATTGATAAAGCTAAAGCGCCTTCAGATTTTGTCCATAAATTCTTTCCGCGTGAATTAGAAATTTTAACAAAAATCGATCATCCGAACATCATTCAAATTCATAGTATTTTGCAACGTGGTCCCAAGATATTTATATTCATGCGCTATGCGGAAAATGGCGATTTGCTGAGCCATATTAAAAAGTCTGGTCCGGTGGAGGAGCTGCAAGCAAAAGCCTGGTTTATGCAGATGGCCAAGGCGCTTAAATATTTACATTCGCATGAAATAGCGCATCGTGATCTCAAGTGTGAAAATATTTTGTTATCGAAACGACTTAACATAAAATTAGCTGACTTTGGTTTCGCACGCTACTGTTGCGATGAAAATGGCCGTGAAATTAAATCGGAAACCTATTGTGGTTCGGCTGCATATGCGGCGCCCGAAGTGGTATGCGGTCGACCATACGATCCTAAACTGGCCGATGCCTGGTCGTTAGGTGTCATACTATTTATTATGTTGAATGCAAAAATGCCTTTCGATGACAGCAATTTAAGTAAATTACTTGAGGATCAACGAAATAAGAAATTTGCCTTTCGGCGAAAATTGCAAGACCAAATATCGGCTCAAGCAAAGGCTACAGTTGCCGTATTGCTCGAGCCGGAACCACATGCTCGTTGGAATTTACGCGAAATTCTTAACTGTAGTTGGCTGCGTGCTGATGAGGAGGAGCCGATGGCATAGTTTGCGTTGAGTAAGCGTCCGTCTATTTTGTGTTCAGTGCGGACGTTCCGAATTTTGTACAAATCAATTATCAATTATCTTCAAAAGCTTACTGAACCAAACCAAATATTTTGATTTGAACGCATAAAGAAGTTGGTCTTTTTATTATAATCCGCCGCGTCGACCTGTCCCCACCCCTGTCCCCCCCCGCCCCGCCCCACACGCCGCTATCATCAACCCCGCCTATCTTCCTCACAGCGAACTCAATTTTATTGCAAACTATACTTGTCTCCCGATCATTCATATATTCTCGATTGGTTTTTTAAAATCCTTTTAACATCTAACTTTTGGTCGTTCAATTGCAAGCAAATGTGTAAAAAACATTTTTATTTTTGAACCTCTTCTCAAACCCAAGCATTAAAGGAAATTTTAATCTCATTTCATTTGAGGTTAGGTATAAACGGATTCGAATTTGTTTTACATAAAGAGAATGTGTCTTTGATATCCTGATTTTAAACTCGTTTTGTAGATTAATCCCTCTTAATTTATTTTGTTAATTTAATTAATTAAATTGTTAACATCAAATATTACTGTAAAAAATTTCATTTAAAAAGATTCAAAAAAAAAAAAAAAAAACAAATAATAATAATAAATAAATAAATAAATTAAATAAAATTATGAAATACGTGGAACATCGGAAAAAAAAAAATAAATAAACATTGCATCGAACTTTTTAACAATACTTGACTTTAAATCATGAGGGGGTGTACGCTCTGTCGTTATGCATACGTAAAGTTTAGGTCTTAGTCGCCTTGCCCTGCATAAGTACTTATGTGTATAGTAATTAAAAGTAAGAATATGTTTTCCTTTTTGCTCTTTTTTTTTTTTTTTTTTTTTAAAGTCGTAAAATGTATTTAGTTTTTCTTAGTTTGTTTCACTTTCATTCCACATGCGGTTGTAAAAATGAATGACCTAAGTTTCTAAACAAACCATCATCTTTCGATATGTTCCTGGCATGTACGAAATACTAATACGTTTCTATGCGGATAGTATATCTACCTAACTACTATGTATCCATCGATAGGATTCCGAATATGCGAAGAAGACACACCCATTGATAGAGTTTTGAATGTAGACATGAGTTGCACGTCATACACACAGGTGGTGGTGGTGGTGTATGTATATGTATGTATGTGTATGCTTATATGTCGAGTTAAATGTTTAACTTTGTTTATAATAAATGTCCTAAATACAACCATAGAGTAGAGAATAAGTTGATTTTCTTCTTCAATAATAATTTCGAATTTTCTTTCCTTTTATAACATAAACGTAGAGTGTTGCAAATTGCACGAATCTGTAGAGAGAGGTGGTGCGTTCTTTTTCTTTATTAATATATATATATATTTTTTTTTTTTTTTGGTAAAATACACTATTATTAGCCATGTTGAGATTATATAATAACTTAACCATATCGTTGATAATTCGAAACATTCTTTGTTGAGTTGGGAAATTTCATATTAAAATCATATTTACATATATTTAATGATTTAGCGGCAATCACGTATGGCGCCAAATGTAGCATTTGGTCAATTTTTCATCTTAATTTATGCCCATAGTGGGTTCAATAATAAATCTCAAATTAATGAAGAAAATTTTAATTTAGTGGGTATTTCCAAGAATGGCAAAGGGATTATTTGTTTCGTATGTTTAACTGTGAAGGACGTACGGAATACATTAATTGTAACGTTCTCTTTACGACACTGCGAAATATGTGCCGAAGGCTGCTTTTAATTTTACAGCTAAAACATGCATAGTGACCGAGCAATTTTATTTAGTAAAAATACGGTAAAAATACCAAAGCGCTTTTATCCGGCATTTGCAGTTTTGACCTGCCGGTGTTGTTATGATGGACGGACATTGGTGGCGAAAGGTCGAAAAGAGCGAGAAGCGTCGTAAAGATCTTAAATAGAAAATTTCGTCGCTCATATCTCGCACGTTCTTTCGTTTACGATTCGCATCGTGTATCTAGTTTCACTTTTTCCCCCCGCAAGTTTCCTACCAGAAATATAGTATGCGCAACAAAGCACAGTTTTCTGTACCGATCACGTTCGAAATATGTTTAAATTGTTGTAAGTATATCATGAATGAATTCTTGGGAATAATTTTATAAAAGATCGTCCCAAACCTACTCAAAGTTCGACAAAGGAATGTAGAGCAATAACACGAATTAGGATCGTGGCGCCTTCGTAACTTGCTTTGTTTAAGTTGAGAAAACTAAGAAACAATTTTGCGAGTCATGAGAACGTTATTGCATTTCTTTAACCGCCTTAGACTCGAAATTTTCTCTTTCAAAATTCACTTTAATCAGTCAACAGCCTTTGCGATCGTGACTATTCGGTCCAATTTGATTTTATTTTAAATATTTGAGAATAAAAGAAGAAAAACGCAAAATTTTATTCTTTGTGTGCACCCGTCCAATGTGTGTGTAGTTATGAGTATATATATTTATATATATATATATGAGTATATATATTTGTAAATATATATTTAAAAGCACATCTGTGCTTGGGGACATATCAAAGATACTTAAATTTGTGTTTATTGAAAAATTTTCTTAATTCCATTAAGCATAAGCATAAGGCATTATGGGCATTTGTGATTATAGTTATGACACTTTTTCTTTACTAAATTCTTTGGAAAATAAGTTTTTCTTATTTTCCTTGAGTAAAAGAATCGACAATACCATGATATAACAGTATTTGCTGGATATTAAATGCTGCATCAAAACTTCTCTCTTTATATATGATATGATATTTTTTGTTCTTAAAAATGCAAAACAGTTGAAAAGCAATAAGAACGATAGCAACGACGCATGAATGGCCTTTCATTTAACATCACGTATTAATTTATAAATTTCAAACAAACACATATCATAGGCAGAAGGTAGCTCTAGCTCTCTCTTTTTCTCTCTCTTTATACAAAAGCCTAATTTCGTTGAAAATCATTATGATTTTGTGCCTTTGGTAAGAGACTCCATTAGTGAATGAATGTTAGAAAGCCGTCGTTTTTCTTTTTTCAAGGCGTTTTCTTCCCTAAGTCGAAAATACCCTTTTTTTATTCTCATAAGGCGAAATCAAATCGTGAATCACACACTTAACAGTCGTCGCGCTATTGAACAGTACTTAACGAAACGCTTCAATAAGTTTTTAAGATATTTCTTAACTTTTGCGCATTTATTCGGATAGCATTTGTGATCTTTTTTTTTTCTTTTTTTTTTTTTCTTGAACTATTGACAGGGCGAAAAAAAAGAGGGTTGGGGTAAAGCAAAAACTAAACTGAAATTTTACCAAATATGGTCACGTAACCCGCGAATATATATATATATATATATATGTATATACACAACAATATCAACGATGTAGTTGTTGTTTGTAGTTATTTGTTCAACTTTTGACAATTGTACAGTGTTGACAGTTTCTTCAAGACAAGCACAAGACAACACAAGTAATATATATAAAAGACCGCTTCTCTTAAAAGTCGTTTGCACTAAGTCTAAGTCTATGCCAGCACGACGGGCACAAAGAGCACCACGATGGACGCAAAAGTATATTGTGTTTATGTATGAAAACCACATATCTACCTACAAATGACATGATAACCGGGCGGAATTTTATAAGATTCATGTGGTTGTGTGACAGATAGGTTTTTTGTTTTTTTTGTTTTTTTTTTTTTCCTCTCTATAGCCGATTATTAAATAGACATTCACTTTTTTGCTACCTTACAAATGCATAACGTGCGGTTGGATCGTTAAAGTGAAGGCTTTTGAGCGTTCATAAATATTTCAGGATTTGAAGATATGTACATAAGTACACAGTCATGCATATATATGCATTTTATATTGCGATGTTCAAATATTATAAATTGTTTAGGAGAATAATTTCGGCAAATAAAACTAAGAACAGCGACTGTGATATGAAGGCATTTTTTGTGGAAAATTGGCACAATATATATATAATCAAAATAGTTATCGACATTTTCTACAACATTTTGCAATGTTTTTGCCAACATGCCGATATCATGTCGAAAGGACTTATATTGACATATTTGATAGGCAGCGACCAAACCATTTTCGCACTTCTTCAACCGTATGCCAGCCAAAGCGTGCTACATCGATCTGAATAAGCGGTAATCAGAAGGCGCTATGTTTGTGTGAGTGCGCTGTGTGTGGCGAAACTTCCCAATCGCGTTGCAACGGTGTATCCTGGACAACTCTTACAACAAGTGATCATTTTCAGTCAATATATACTTATATACGAAAGAATTGTTCATCACTAGAGCCTAAGATAATAAATGAAATATTAGCACATTTTCCATTGATTCAGCTATGAATTTAAACAAGTAAGAAAGTTATATTCCATCGTGAGCAAATGTTTTATATCCATCACCGTAGAATATAGAGTAGGGGAGGCAGACTTTCTCTATTTTTAAAATGATACTTTCTGTCACATAGGTATGTGTCCTTTGAAAACCACATATATGTTGGACAGACGGACATTCATAGGTGTATTCTAAATTTGAGACTGCCAAAGAATTCATATGCTTTATGAGGTTTTATATATAAAACGAACAAGTATTAAGTAAGAAAAAAACATTAAATTTTGATACTCTATAATGTCGGGTAGGCGTGGCCAATGTTTTCTATTTTCCTACAACATCGCCCCTAGAATACACGTTCAAGTTTTTGCACGACAATGTCATTTTTACAAAACAATATTTTACACCTAACAGAGGTATTCTCAATTTACGTGGTGCTGTAGGTGTGTTCTTCGATCGATTTGTCCCCCATTTTCAACACCAATTTTTGCCTGCAAGAATTTTTTTCCCATAAATTTATTTTTGCGGCCAGAAGAGTGTTCAAAACAGACATTACATGAACGGGCAGACAGCCAGACGGACATGCCTCAATTGATTCAGAATTTGATGCTCATCAAGAATGCATCTACTTTGCGTGGCCCCTGAAGCCTCCTTCTGGGCGTTGTAAATTTTTGATTATATGTCTCGTCCTTCGGGGATGGGTATAAAAAATTTGAAATGGCGGCGGATGGATCTAAGATGTGTGTATGCATGAGTAGACATATTTCTTACTTTTAACTTTTTCG